TTTTTTTTTTCTATAAACATAATATATATATATATGCATGGCGTATGTTTGCATTGATCAATGGTACGTGAAATCTCCGATTGTATTGATTGAGTTAAATCGTTCATTGTTATTTTGGTTTTCATTTGTTGTATATTGTCATTGTTATCTATTTTTTCTTAATAGGATAGTGATATGACCTTGACTACGACAAGTGACAGAAAAAGTGAGGAAACAAGCAGAGAACACGAAGATAATTGGGATCTCTGTCTTTGTCTCTCGGTTTTTTTTCTTCGTCTTCTTTTACAAGGTCCTTCCATGCATGACACAGCACATAGTGTTGTTCTTTGTCTATATATCTGGCAGCATCGACACCAAGCCTGGAGAAAATAGAAGACTAAAGAATGATGCCTCGATTTCTAGGCATCAATGAAGATGATTGTTGTTGTTTATTATTGAAGGTCATTATATTCTTCTTCTCGTCTTTCATTCTTTTCTTATTCATTTTTGACTCATTATTGATAATAAACGAATGATGAACACTTCTAAAAATTATCGAAACTGATGATCCATTACAAAATATTTTATTTCTAATTCAAGGATATATTAACAATTAAATCGTGCTTATTGAAAATTTCATTTCTATAATTCATACTCATAACTGATTGACTACGATGAGATACAGATGTCATACATATTGTAAGATGATGAGATAGAAATAGAAAATGGAAAGCTTATTTGATAGCAGTTTTACACGCGCAAACGAAATCGAAAAGACATCACATACACACACACACACACTTTCCTTCATTCTATCTTTTGTAGTTGCACGCAGATGCAATAACAGAAAAGAGAAAATAAAGAGTGAGAAATAGAAAATCCTTCAAGAAATCCAGGGTTCTATTTATATCGAGGGATTGTGTATGTTGCTTATGTGCGTTTCTCGTTGAATAGCGTACTCATGAGAGGAGATACAGACGAGCATGAGAAAAAGAAAAAGACAGAGAGAGAGAGAGAGAGAGAGAGAAAGGAAAAAGCAAGCAATAGTAAATAGTATAGAGGAAGAAAGAAACGAACGGCAAAAAAAGAAGAAAAAACGCAAGTAAGCAGGCAAGTAAGCATCAATCCTGTATGTGTGTGTATGTGTGTGCTTGCACAGCAGCGAGAAATAAAACACCGTGGTGTTACCAAAACAGCAGAGATGCTGTCGCTTTAGTATAAGAACAAGAATGAAGATGTTCTTTTTATACTAACATTGCCATCATCATCATTGATATTTTGGTATAATGGCTATTCTTTCGTCTCTTATTGGTTCATCAGTCCGTGACCGTTTATTACAATTGTCCTACATTTATTTTTTTTTTCAACAATTAACTTACATCTTATTAACATTTTCTATAGACAATATTTTATTGTGGTATGTTCTTGTTTATTTTTTGCTTTCCACATTTAACAATCATCGATTCATTTCAAAAAATATTCACTTTTTTTTAATATATATGCATATATGTACAAAAGCAATGCTTTCTTTTTTTCATGTCTTCAGTTTTATCCTAATCAGTAAAATCCTTATCATATCAAATTCATAACGCTCTATATAAAACATGATATATATAAAGATCTCATGTCTGGTTATTACTTATTTTTGTTGTTACTGTTATGTATGTTACTATAAATTGTTATCGAGGTCCGTATATATATACATGCATTCCCCAGGTGTATACATATATATATATATATGTTTCGTATATTCATTCGCATTGTTTGACAATGCATATAGACGTGACATAATTGTTAAAGATAGAATGAAAGTCATCGTCTCGAAATTGAGACAGATCACTTGTTACATTTATATATATATATATGTGTGTGTTTTTTATTTTCTATCTATATAGGAAAAAATAATTTGATATAATTATCTTGACAGAACAAGTCGACCTCGTACTTTCTTCTTCTTGTTTTTTTTTGTGTTAGTAGGAAATTCTACTTGTCTCTTTGTAGAATTTCTCGAAGAAGATTCTTTCTTTGATCGTTTTGATTTAATAACGAAAATATCATAAATATTTTTGATGATTGAACAAGTAGTTTTTATTTTTTTTCAATAATTTAATATATGAGAATAAGTTATATAGTGAAAAGATATAAAAGATTCTCTTCATACTCTTTGATTTTGATTGATAAATAAATAAATAAAAAAAAAAAGATAATTTTTAGATATTAATTAACACTGATAAGTTTTATTTCATTTTTGTAAACATCTAATATTAATTAGAGATACTATACTAGAATAGTAGTCATTATTTGAATTGAACTATTTATAATATATGACTATCAACATTTAGAAATTTATTTAAGAATTAAAATAAAAAACTTGTTGTATAGAATTGAATAATAAGTCATATTAAACAAGAATGAAAGTTATGAACAGTAGACAACAGTTACTTGTCTAGTTGTATATTGATTTTCTTAGCAAAAATAGAAAAAAAATAGAATTTGATATTTTTATTACAAATTAGATATTAAATTTTATCTTCGATTTTTTAATGAAAGTCTTTCTCGCCGCATAAGTGTCATAGGTGTATAAATACGTTCAGCTTCTTGTCTTTCTTCGAGTGATACTTGTCGATCATCGAGCATAATGAGACGTGACAACTGACTGATCACATAATGTCTATAGTCAACATATTGTTTATAAGAACCACCATTGAAAAAACTTGGTGCGGCAGGATTATTCATCATACTTAAATATTTTAATTGTGGACAATTAATAGCTAATGTTTGAATAAATACACTTAAATTTGTTATTTGATTATGATTAATCCATAATGTATGTAATATATCTAAATGAGGTATTTTAACATTTGAATTAATACGATTTTTATCAATAATTAATGTTCGTAGATTTGGAAAATCCATAAGAAAACGAAGATCATCTAAATTATTTTCTGTTAGATCAAGATGTTCAATCATATGTTTATTAGGTGGTAATAAATGATCAGATATTGAATTTAAATTTTGATAAGCAAATGAAATTTTTTTTTCAAGTTCATCGTCTATTCTTTAATATACAAAAAAAAAAATATAAGAAAAATTTTCAAAATAAAAAACAACAAAAAAAAATTATGTCTCTATACTTTGTTTTCTTTCTATTTATTGTTGCCATTTATTTTTATGTGTTAATATGAAAAAACAATAAATTTTTTGTTATTTATGAAAACTTTAAGATAATGATGACAATGTATAAGTTTTTTATTAGTCATTTTCTTTTTTGTCTTTTCTTTTAATTCTAATTTGTTTTTTTTTTTATTTTTTGTCATCATCATCATTTTTCTTTTCTTTTGCTTATTTTGTTGATCATATCCAAACACCAAACGGTGCACAATGTGCTATGCATCTAAGAAAGAAAAGAAGAAGAAGAAGAAGAAGAAGAAGAAGAAGAAGACGCGTTAGAGAAGAAGAAAAAAAAAAGGGGGCTTTTCAAGATTTCCCTTCTTCGTTTATACTACGTATATGAAAGAACGACGTTGTTGCGATGTATTGAGAGGAGGAAAATGTTTCATGGTAGCAGCGACAACAGAAAGAACCGGGCGACAGGAGCGTGTAATCAAACGACACATACGCAGGCGTATAACGGTTAGCAATTTTCTTTGAATCATACAAAACAAGGAAAACACACACACACACACACACACACACATACACATATACAGTGATGGCTTATCAGCAGCTGGACACTCGTAATAATAGTAGTGTCATTGATGACTATCGAAAGTAGGTTTTGTTTCTATTCGATTTATAAACATATACACTTGATTGATTGTCATTTATCATCATTATTATTCTTATAGATGCTATTGGTAAAAGCCATATCAAACAGCATAGTAATAACTATTCATAAGATTGTTTATTTCACGAACGAAAGAACTAAATTATCTTAGAAGAAAAAAAACATATATATATATAGATATATATATATTTTTTATCCTATTCCTCTTTTTGTCTCTTGTTTTGACGGATTACGTCTGCCCAGCTGGATAGTAGGTGGGTGTTCGATATGATGAGTAATCAATCGTTTACTTGTCATTGATTCTTCGAACCTTATTCTTCTTTGTTAATAACTCGATATTATGGATTAATACAAGTCATAACATTTATTTAGTTGTTTTCTTTTTTTTTTTAAGATCAATCATGAATCCGCCCAAACCATCCAAAGATAAAGAATCACCAGGAACCAGTTCTTCCAGTCAAGTTACTTTTGTAAGTTTAATTAAAGAAAAACAAAAAAAAAATTTATTTTAGAATTAATTTTGAATTCATATAGGCTGGTATCAAATCTGCAAGTAAAAAAGACTTGCGTGGCGGTCGTATCCGAGCCGAAGTTGTAAGTAGATAGTTTAGAAATCTTTTTTGCTTTTTTCTTTTTTGTCTTTATCTCTCCATATTCATAATAATGAATAACTAAAAAACTCAAGTGTCACTAGTACAATTTGCTAGTTATTTAGCTTGAGGCTTTTTTTTTCTATTATGAGGTGTGAATATGTCTTCGTCATTTTCCTATTTTCTTCTTCCTTTTCCGCTAAACAGATTGCACGCATTGTAAACCTGTATAGCTTATATGGAAGTTTTTTTTTTCTCCATGTGTGTTTTGAACGAGAAATATATTCTGACACAACAAAAAATAATGATAATAGAGCAAAGTCTGCGACGTACATATATATATATATATATATGGTATCTGTCGTCGCTCTATCTCATCAGGCTTTGATGCATCGAGAGAAGAAAAAGCAGAGGCGCGAATAACGAAGAAGGGACAAATCTGTCTTGGGTTTTTTTTTCCTTTCTTCTTTTTTTTTCTCCTTTCCTGAACGACGATAGAAAGAGACATTTCTTTTTGCTTTCCCTATTGAATGCTACTACTTGAATTGTCTTCTTTCTATTCATCTATCTATCTGTCGATCTGTCGGCAAAGTATAGAGAAAGCGAGCGAACAAAACATTCTATTCCTGTTTCTGTT